AGCAGATCCCCGGTGAGGCGAGGCGTCCGAGTGCGTCAATGAGTGGCGCTGGAGTGGGTTTCTCGATCGGTGAGCCTGGTTAATGTCGGCATACGGGCGGCAGTTGTATTGAACGGACGTGGTAGATATCCGTCACGTCCCGTCCAGTCACGCGTCTCCGGCTTTGAACTGGCGCGGAAACCGGAGATGCATTGCGGGCGGAGCCCTCGGCCGGCGTACCATTTCAATGGCAGAGGCAGTGAGAGGTCGCATCCGCCCTGAGCCATCTTCAATGTTGAGCGGCGCACTCTACAGCGGCATGAATGCGGGCAGCTGATGCTGGGCAGGAACGTGCGTGAATGAGGGTGAAGGGGTTTTGGTGAGGCAGGGTGGTCAGAAGTGTGCTTGGGATCGATCCGGACTTTCGCAAAGCCCCCCACATTCGTCTCCGGTTTGCGAAAAAAATCGTGTCGGGACCGTGCCGCGGACCGATATAGACCCACGCTGGATGGCTTCCATGGTCCGAATAGCGCGGTTCGAATGATTGCGGGATGTTTGCTAGTCCGCCTTGATGATACCCTTAGTGCTGCTACACACGTGCACGGCGGGTATATGTTGACTCCCTATCATCTGCATCGATGAACTAGACTGCGGCAACTACTTCAAGCTGCATCTTTTCAAGAGCAAAATGGCATATGCATGTCGGCGTGGCAAAAAGTTAGTAAGCGTACACCGGCGACGATAGGCGGAAAGAGACTACAACAAAACACATGGAAAATAGGAAATTACCAAAGAAAAATGATGAGGAAAACGGGCTGAACGTGTGCTAACTGGAACTAGTTGTCGATGAACCCGGCTTGGTATTTTAAATAGCCGTTGGCTGGTGATCCATCGTCGAATTAAGGGACATTTTCTTTGGGGTTTGGAAACCCGGCTTGGAAATCGTTGAATTCGTAGCTAACGCGTGTGTGTCTGATGTTTGTTGTTTAAATTAAGGGACATTTTCTTTGGGGTTGCTTTAATCATCAGCTCTCGGAGGCTACTAATAATTTATTCACTCGTGTAGTACCTCTTCAGTTATACCTAGCTACGTCGACTATCATGTGAGTATCAAGCATTCTTCTGCGTTTGCTTAATGTAATTTGATGTTCCCAGTAATGAAGGAAAAAAAATACTAGTATCTCGGTAAACAAATACTCCCTTCGTCTCTCCAAATAAATGACTTAACTTTGTATTAACTTTATAAAATTAAAACTAATAAATTAAGTTAAGTCACTTATTTTAAAATAAAAGGAGTATAAGACATTTTAAATTACTAAAATAGTGATCTAAAACATCTTATATTTATTTAGAGAAAGAGTACTACTCGTGGACCATGTTTGACAAGAAATGGAATCATGCCCGGACGCCGCCGCGCTAATTTCTATGTGCAGAATTACTGTCTTGATCCGCAAGGTCCATGTTTGACCAGAAATGAAGATACTTGCCGAGGGTGGTCCAAATTAGATGGGATAACATTAAGTGCTCAACCTGGGTGACCGTGTTTGTGTTGACAGCCTCTGTTCTTTGCTCGGAAACGTCATATTAGATGTACTATATACTGTTCTGGTTTATTGGTCTCCTTTGTATTCAGTGTCAAATTTTAACATTAAATTTAACTAACAAAATGTTAATAGCACATGTCATAAAAAATAAATATAATTGAAAACTATGCTCAAATACGAATCCAGCGACATAATTTTTTGGTGCCTTTGCATTTATTGTGCTAGTTAAACTTTTAGTCTAAATTTAGCACAAAATACAAAAGGGACTTATAAACCAGGACGGAGGTAATACTTTTTTCAGACAAACACCGTTTAGAGCAACTCTAGCAGACCCCGCATCCGGCCGGCACGCAAAACGCGTTTGCAGTTCGCGAAAAACGGCTTTGCAGGCCGGCGCGGACGGCCGCAGATGCAGACCCCGCATAACGAACCCGTAAAAAGGATATTCATGGAATATGCTCTTTTACGGGTCGGCTTTGCGGGGTCTGATCTGGCGCAGCTCCTCCCGGTCCGGAAAATCTAAATTTGCACCTTAATTTGATCCAACATAATGCATTTCTTTGCTTTTTCAACAACATTGGATACATAAGACATCACCAAATCTTTGCTAGAATAGCAAGACGAAAGAAAACAAGAAGCATAAGTATGCATTTTAAAAGATTTCCAACTTCCATAACTGCTCGCACTAGTTGGACTAATATTTTCTCCATGCATTCATTGTTGATATGTGGATTCTTGATTTTGCATTCTTCTTTCTCATCTTTGGTTCGAAAGAAGTAGACGTTCCTTCACCTCTAGTTGCACATGCAGCCGCATCATTGCCTTCGATTCTATTAAGGAGTGCATGAACATCTATTAAGTTTCTTTCTATCAATAAATCAATGTCGCCTTCCCAAAACCAAAATGAGCATCCATCTTCCTACACACATGAATGAGCATGTTCGAAAGGAGCTACCCCAATTGAACCAAATAATGAGCTATCAAAATGAGCTACCGCAAGTGCACGTGCCCCATCATTTTTGCATTTGAAGAACACCCATCCAGGGTGCTTCGGCGTGCCCGAAGTTAGCCGCAGCACTGTCCGCGTGCAGTCGTCGCACTGTATGAGCGGCATCGGTGAGCCACAGAGCCGCTGCGGGAGCACCGAGCCTGGTGGACGGCCGGACGAATCCATGCCCTCAAACCGTCGGTGGTGGCGGGAGGACGAGTCCGTACCTGCATGTGGCGATGCGACCTTGCCGGGGTTGCGGGAGATGCTCCCCGACCATTCCATCGCTTGGCGCAGCCACCGGCGGCCAGAAAAGCCAAATCCGGTGGCCCGCGATGAAGGGTCGCAGATCCGCAACTTTCTGGCCCGCCGACGCAGGAGGGGTGGGAGAGGGGAGGCCTCGTGCGTGTGGCGGCCTTTCGGCATGCTCCCGCCAGCTGATTTCGCCGGAATTTTGGGCGGCGGCCTGGCGGCGGGGCGAGGGGAGAGGGGAGGTGGTTGGTGGGGAAAGCACGGGCTGAAATGTCCCCCCACCAACCGCTTCCGCTTATATGCAGGGCACCTCAGCGGCGAGGGGGAAACCCGCGTATTCGCGGGTTGGGGCCGAGATTTTGCCGCGCCCCTCAATTTTTTTTTTGCGGGCCGGCTGCCTTTGCGGGGTCTGTTCTGGCGGGATTTTCCACGTGGACCCGCATTTTGACGGGTATTTGCGGGTCGGGGCTTTTTGCTGGGTCTGCTTGAGTTGCTCTTACTACCCTCCCACCTTCATTTGGCCAAGTTATCCTTAGTCAGAATTACTTTCTTGTGAACAAACCATATGAAGATTTTTATTCTTAAAGGAATTTTAATCTTCCAAATATGAATTGATTTTGAAATTGGACTACAATCAATTAAGTCTAAATACATAGACTTGACCGGGAATATCCCATTCACAGATAACTTCCAGTGAATCGTATCTGGCTCAATAGAGAGATGAACGTCCATGAACCTCCGTACAAGATGTAGCAAATTGTCTCATCACTCACCTACTAGTGACCTCCTGAACTAGATATTTAAAGGGTCAGACTGTAATATTGTAGCAATATAAGCGTCCTTATGTTGCACAATATTATAGAAAGAAGAATAGTGTGTGGCTTCTGACGCTTCCACTAACCAAGTATCTTTCCAAAATCTAATTGTGTTACCGCTCCCAATTGTAAACTTAGTGCTATGAAAGAAGGCTACTTTCGTCCTTATTAGCCCCTTCCAGAAAGGCGGGTCATTGAATCTTACAAGTATCTTCTCAAAATCTAGTTGTGTAGTTGTGATATTAATTGCGTAATGAAACGAGTTTATTCGTTCTTTCATGTACTTTCTACTTTTCAAAATACTTATCGTGATTTTAGTTTGAGTAGTACTCCCTACGTTCTAAAATAGATGACTTAACTTTATACTAAAGTTAGTATAAAGTTGAGTTATCTATTTTAGAACGGAGGGAGTACTTATTATATGTTTGCAAGGAATTAAAAGTTGCGGGGAAAGAAGAAGAAGAAACCCTCACGTACGCAGTTACGCCACGAGAGACGCGTTAAAGGAATATCTCTATGCAGGCATCAGCATCTTGTTCTACAAGGACCATGTTTGTTTGACAAGGAAATAGAATCTTGGCGAGGAAGAGAAGTCAATCGAGATAAATCAAGCGCTCAATCTAGCCATGTCTGTGTCGACAGCCTCTGTTGTGTGCTCAAAAGCACCGTTGATTGCTACGTATATATCAACCCACGTGTCGTTATCTAGAAGCCATCTTCTCAAAATGAAAGACGTTTTGTCTAGAAGCCAGAGCCCCGTGCGGATATGCCGTCGATGTCGACTAGCAGCTCCATGCGTACGACGGCTTCCCGGCAGACCACACGTTCCCACCAGCTGGGGTCCATCCTGGCTAGTTGGTGCGCGTCCGAGGCTGGCTCGTACTTGGCTACTTGCACGCATCACGGCTGATCTCACCCGGGACCGCGACGAAACGCCTCTCTTCCGCCTTCTGTACCCCGGTGGGTCACACGCGCGTAGCCAGCAACCCGTCGACCAGAAAGCCATAGTCAAAACGCAGCCGCGAACGCCATATAAATACCCACCTCCCCCGACCCGAGTCTCACAACGGAAACAAACACATTTCCCGGTCTCAAACTCACAGTACAGGCCGCCGATATTTTCTCCTTGTTCCCGAATCCTGAGTGACCACCGGTCCGGTCCACCATGGGTCTCGTCTGGTTGGTGGCGGCCGCCGTGGCGGTGGTGCTGGCGTCGTGGGCGTTCAACGCGCTGGTGTACCTCGTGTGGAGGCCGCGGGCCATCACCAGGCAGCTCCGCGCGCAGGGCGTCGGCGGTCCGGGTTACAGGTTCTTCGCCGGGAACCTCGCCGAGATCAAGCAGCTCCGCGCCGACAGCGCCGGCGCCGCGCTGGACATCGGCAACCACGACTTCGTCCCCAGGGTCCAGCCGCACTTCCGCAAATGGATCCCCATCCACGGTAGAAAGCCGAGCCTGTAGATTCCTCTCCTCTAGCAGATCTAGTTCGTGATCTCACGCCATTTCCTGCTTGCAGGGCGCACGTTCCTCTACTGGTTCGGAGCCAGGCCGAGCCTGTGCGTCGCCGACGTGAACACGGTGAAGCAGGTGCTCTCCGACCGCAGCGGGCTGTACCCCAAGAGCATCGGGAACCCGCACATCGCCCGCCTGCTCGGCAAGGGGCTCGTGCTCACCGACGGCGACGACTGGAAGCGCCACCGCAAGGTCGTCCACCCGGCCTTCAACATGGACAAGCTCAAGGTACGTGACCAGCTCCCGCGCGACGCGCGTTGACGTGTGTGTCTTGTCTAAGCATGCACAATGCGTATGACTTGCGCTAACTGTTATTTGTATGACAGATGATGACGGTGACCATGTCCGACTGTGCCGGGTCAATGATGTCGGAGTGGAAGGCAAAGATGGACAAGGGCGGCAGCGTGGAGATTGACCTGAGCCACCAGTTTGAGGAGCTAACCGCGGATGTCATCTCCCACACGGCATTCGGAAGCAGCTACGAACAAGGGAAAAAGGTCTTCCTCGCGCAGAGGGAGCTCCAGTTTCTTGCCTTCTCCACCGTTTTCAACGTGCAAATCCCAGCATTCAGGTAAATGCAAGTTCTTCTTCTTCTTCTTGTACCATTATTAGTCTGAATCAACTCACAACGTACATTTTCACCAAGCAGAAATTAATCTATGTGTGTTTGTGGAATTTATCAGGTACCTTCCAACTGAAAAGAACCTCAAGATATGGAAGCTTGACAAGGAGGTGAGGACCATGCTTATGAACATCATCAAAGGCCGTCTTGCCACCAAAGACACCATGGGCTATGGCAACGACCTCCTCGGGCTTATGTTGGAGGCATGTGGCCCAGAGGACGGGCAAAATCCGCTTTTGAGTATGGATGAGATCATAGATGAGTGCAAGACCTTCTTCTTTGCCGGGCATGACACCAGCTCACACCTGCTCACATGGACCATGTTCTTGCTGAGCACGCACCCCGAGTGGCAGGAGAAGCTCAGGGAGGAGGTGCTAAGAGAGTGTAGCAACGGTGTTCCCACCGGTGACATGCTCAACAAACTACAACTGGTCAACATGTTCCTACTAGAAACTCTCAGGTTATACGCACCTGTATCGGCCATTCAGAGGAAGGCGGGTTCGGATCTCGAGGTTGGTGGCATCAAAGTGCCCGAAGGCACGGTCCTAACGATCCCCATCGCGACGATACATCGCGACAAGGAGGTCTGGGGAGAAGATGCCAACGAATTCAAGCCTATGAGGTTCGAGAATGGAGTGACAAGGGCCGGAAAGCACCCCAATGCCTTATTGTCTTTCTCCAGTGGTCCGAGGTCGTGCATAGGGCAGAACTTTGCAATGATCGAGGCCAAGGCCGTGATCGCTGTGATTCTTCAGAGGTTCTCATTCTCCCTATCACCAAAGTATGTCCATGCCCCCATGGATGTGATCACGCTGCGGCCTAAGTTTGGGCTTCCCATGATCCTCAAGAGCCTAGAGATGTAGAAAAATGTGTATGGTGTTAAGTATAACACAAGGTTTCTGTATTATTTGACTGGAGTTTAGTTTATGTTGCACACTAGATAAGCTTGTAAAATTATCGATGTATAATGTTTCCGATTTGTAAATTAAAAAATAAAGTGTTTTATTAATAAGTTCTTGATTTTTCTTGCCACCAACCACCTTTATCTCCCCAAAGCATAGTCACTATCTATAGATAAACAAAAATTGCAAATTCCTTTTTATCAATCCTGACATGCAGGACGGAAAAGATCCATACAACTCACTCTTACTTCTCCACTTTGGAAAATCTTCCTCAAATTGCACACAAGGAATAAATGTTACTCCCTCCATCTCGGTGCATTAGGCATCTATCGAAAATCAAATAATTCCAAAATGCTAAGGCACGAAATAGTAGTACTAGATGCATGCATATTAATTAGACTCCATCTATTAATTGGAGGACCAATGTCGTGGTTCTAAGTCTGACAGTAGAATGGGGGTAGGTATGGAGAGGCAAGATCCTAGCTATGGAGTAGTTGTACACACGAGTGTTTTTACGAGTTCAGGCCCTTCTCTGAGGAAGTAATAGCCCTACGTCTCGGAGCCCGGAGGCGGTCGACTGGTTTATGTGTATATGAGTTACAGGGGTGCGAACCCTTCTACCAGTGGAGGGGGGTGGCTTATATAGAGGACGCCAGGACCCCAGCCAACCCACGTAGCAGAGGGTTAAAGTACATTAAGGCCGGGCATTACTGGTAACGCCCTACATAAAGTGTCATCATGACTATTAAGACTACTTAATTACAGACCGTTTGGATACAGAGTAGATCCTGAACTCCTGATGGTCGAGTGAGTCTTCATGGTCGAGTGTCTTTAGGTTCGTCGAGTGTCTTCTAGCCGGTCGAGTGGAGTCACTCTTGGTCGACTAGAAGGTAGCTTCATCTAAGGATGTCCTTGGGTATGGTATCCTAGATAGGTCCATGACCCTACCCTAGGTACATAACATCTTCATTAGCCCCCGAATGGATCGAGGTTCAAGTGAGGAAGGAGTTGATGATTTTCTCCGACTTATTTCCCATGCTTTGATTATGTCGTATCTTGGATCGGCGATTTTTCTTTCGGCGTTGGCGTCAACTTTTACTTCAGTCGCCTTGATCCATTCTTGTCTTCTGTCGAGTGAACTTTTTGAACTTTGGTGAACTTCCGAGCGACGGATCGCAGGAAAGATATCGTCTGACAGATTGATCTGCTGTTAACGGATTTTGCGGGATCCGAAATTTGGGAAGCGCGCGAAGCGGGGCGGACCGCGGCAATCGGATGGGATAAGGCGTGGACGCCTCGATTTCCGTGCCGCCTTTTTCGCCATGCATCGTACTCGCGTGACTGTTTCGGGATGTGACAGGATCGCCCGGACCCACTCGTCAGCCACTCGGAAGCGCCCTTATATAAAGCGCCGGGGAGGGTTTATTGAACAGTGCCTTCCCATTCTTCTCTCTTCCCTCTTTGCCTCCGCCCACTGCGCCCGCTCTCGCCTCCGCCTATCCACTCCTCGCGCGCTTCGCCGGCGACAATGGTGAAGGAGAAGACGGTGGCCCTAGAGCGCGCGAAGAAGGCGACGGCGACGGGGAAAGCGAAGGGGAGACCGTCCAGTCGGGGCGGATCTTCATCAAGGTCCCGCCTGCCGAAGGGTTGGGTCCAAGGGGATTGGATCCGCTCGACCATCACTGAGAAAGATCTCAATGACCTGGCCAATGAGGGACTGATCCCCCACGGGTCAGCGAGGCTTCCGGGGACCGAGTGTCAACCGCAGCCGCAGGAGGGTGAGTGCGTTCTCTTAGCCACTCACGTAGACCGTGGTTTTTCTCTGCCGCCGAGTGTTTTCTTCCAGGGGTTTCTGAATTTCTTTGGGGCGCAACTCCACCATTTCACTCCCAACTCCATCGCCTATCTTGCTGCCTTTGTGTCCATGTGCGAGAACTTCCTGGGTTGTCGACCACACTGGGGTCTCTTCAAGCACATATTCACCTGTCGCTCACAGACAGTGAAAAAGGCGAGTCCGGACGATGAGAGGAATAAGGTTATCCATATGTGCGGCGGTCTTGGGATCCAGATGAGGAATAAGAGTACTTTCCCAGCCATGACCCTTCCTGAGTTGGTCAGAGGGTGGCAGTCGACTTGGTTCTACTGCCAAGACGAGTCGACGCCGGGGCAGTCGACTGGTCTCCCTCCGTTTTCCATGGACCGAGTGGACAAACCCTCTTCTCTTAAAGTGCTTCCTAAGGAGAAAGTTCAGGTAAAAATGTTGATGGAGCGTGTAGTCCAACTCGTTAGAGAAGGAGTGACGGGTATGGATCTTCTGGAGGTCTTCCTTAGGCGGCGCATCCAACCACTTCAGTACCGAGGCCATCCGATGTGGCTGTATTGTGGGACCGAGGACACCACTCGGGTCCATCCAGAGGCGGTCGACGACGCCACACTGGAGAGGTGGGTGACCGCAATCACGGGGAATAAGGACAACCCTCGAGGGGCCAGGAGGATCCCACCACTCGACTGTACCTACACACCGGACACGGTATGGCCATTTATTTCCAATCGCAATCTTGCTTTATTCATTATGCTTCGCTGTGAATTGGGCGAGTGATCTTTGTTTTGCTTTGTTGCTTGACAGGCCACCACGGAGTTATACTCGATGCCCAATGGAGCGCAGACACCGACTGAAGAGGAGGAAGGAAGTGGGGGCGAAATCCCGGAGGAGTGGGATTCAGATGCTGACGACGACGATGAGGCTGAAGACTCTGATGAGGAGGAAGAGGAGGAGGAGGAGGAGGAGGAAGTTGCACCTCCCCGCTCAGAAAGACGCTCGAAGCTTGTCCATGATCCCGCGACTAAGCGTGGTAAGGGGGTCGCGACCGCTACCCAGTCGACCAAGCGCCCTCGGACTACTTCTCCGGCGCCGACTGAGAAGGCTCCGAAGCAATCTCGAGTGGCACCATCGAAACCTGCGAAGGTCTTGCCGAAGATGAAGATGGTGATCCCCACTATCTCAGGGTAATGGTAGTCTTGAGTTTTCTCCGTTTCATGAACTTGCTCTTGGTCGACTCATGGGTCAATCGACTGACTTCCGGAACTGCAGTGCTGCTACTTCTGATACTTCGGCCAGGGCTGAAGACCACGAGATGGATGATGCTGCTACCTCAAAACCTGGTATGACTCTTGTGATGCCGTTTTCAGTCGACTGACTTATTGTCTCTAATTTTGATTCTTTCTGCAGCTTCATCTAACATTGTTATTGACATCCCTGACAACGACGACGAAGAACCACCAAGGCAGAGGAGAAGCAAGAAAACGTCTACTGGCAAGGCGGCTCAGGATGTGCCAGCACCCGAGACATTGGTCGTGGAGGGAGACAATGTCACTCGGCCTACCGTAACCTTTGCGGTGCCGTTGACGAGTGCTCGTCCTTCGTCGTTGAGTGCTGATCAACCCTCGCTTTTCTCCACCTACCCCATTCCAGAAGACCAAGCTAGTGCTGCTAAAGAAGCAATACGCCAAGCGGGGGTCATGATGGAGCAAGTGAAGGAAATACGAGAAGCCAGCCAGGTAGCCTATGACGCCAGTTCGGCTCTTCAGAGTAATGTTCAGGTCAGTCGGTCACTGCCTGTTCTGTTAGGATATGATATCTGAAAACTCTTTTTCTGAAATTCTTAGAGTTTGTCCTACACCCACTGGGTGTGTCGATTGAAATTCCGGATTAGTGGGGGCACGCTGAGTGCACCCACTGGGTGTAGTCCCCAAGGCTATGGTCGACTGCTGGCAGTCGACCATAGGCTTTAAGTTTTTTCCTTACTCGACTAGGTCGAATAGATTCATAGACCGGTGGGGGCACGCTGAGTGCACCCACTGGGTGTAGTCCCCGAGACTGTGGTCGACTGCTGGCAGTCGACTATAGTCTGAAGAACATCTCCCCCCCTTTTTTTTGTTGTTGGTCGACTGGTCGACTCTAACTGATGAAACTAGTGGGGGCACGCTGAGTGCACCCACTGGGTGTAGTCCCCGAGACTATGGTCGAATATTTGTATTCGGCCGTAGTCTTAGAAACGCTATGATTTTTCCTTACTCACTCGGAAGTGAATTGTCTTTGACATCTGTCGATTGGTTCTTCGTAGAAATCCTGTGACCTTGCGGCTCGTTATACTGAGTTTGAGAACAAACACATTCAGCTCGAGCTCGATCTGAAACTGGCCCAAGAGAACTTAATGAAGGGAAGGAGGAAGCTAAAGGTATGCTTGGTGAGGCCTTTGACGACTGCCTTTGCCTCTTACTTGTTTCCGAATCTAATCTCACTGTAACTTTGCAGACAAAGTGAGGGATGCCCTGAAGAAGCAAGATCTTGACTTGGCTGAGATGCAAAAAACTGCTTTAGAGAAGACCAGGCTTGCTGATGAGAAGCTGGCTTCAGTGACCAAGCTTGAAGAAGAAAACACCAATCTGAAAGCTACTCTTGATGCTGCCAACCAGGAGGTCAGTCGACTGAAAAGTGACAAGACCACCCTGAATGACAAGGCCAGTGAGTTGAAGAGAAAGAAGAACGATCTAGAGGCTTATCTGGGTGGACTCGCCAAGAAGTTGTTCCTCATGCTTGAAGGTAATACTTTGTATCAAACAAATATTTTAATTGTAACCTCCGACTGTTTGTCTTGACTCGGTGGTTGTGCTTGCAGAGTTCTGTCAGAACTTTGAAGAGGAGACTGGTCGACTGGAAGTAAACCTGGACCCCATCAACTCTCCCGTGAAAGATGAAGTCGCCATGAATGTGCTCCGGCTGGAATCTCGTGTTGCTGCTGTCATCGATTATCTCGCAAGGCTGAAGGTCGCAACTTCTCGCATCGACACAACACTCTGGCCAAGAGAGACACTCCAGAACGACCTCGAGTCCCTGATGACTCGACTGAACGAGGTCCCAAGTCGAGTGCAGGAGTGGAAGAAGTCTTCGGCCAGGTGCG